TAGGCCTTCACTCCTCGTTAGCCACCACACTAAATCCCATCAACAGTTGTTTGACAGGCTTGGACAGCCGACTTCTGCGTAGGGGGAGGTAGAGAGATTGAGAACGACACTGTAACATCCCTCGTCACAACACGTCCACGAATTCCTCACTATGATAAATCTCACGCGCATGAATCTACCCCGACTCGCTAAGCAGGCAGATTATCAGTCGCAGGGCTGAAGATCAAACTTCGCAAAAATCGCATGAGGGCTGAAAAAATTGTGGGAGTTAATCTGTCGAAGTCAGGGAAATTGCCGTTAAGCCGATGGGCAGAAAATACTACTAATAGGCATTCATAGTGGATTTCTGGAGCTGCCTGACAAATCCACAGCATGCTTCTCCATCCAAAGTGATTGATTTTCGCCGAACCATACGTGTTGTGCGTACGTAAAGGTACATAAAATAGTCTACGCTTTCTTCCCCCTCACCCTCGGTGGTAAAGTCTCGATTGATTCCTCCTCATCTGCAGCCCGCCAATTCAATTCGACTGCAGGACGTGTGTCATACGACGCAAAACAACATTTCCGCAGAACAAGCTCGCATACAAACACTGGTTACACGATCCTCATCCATTTTCAGTATGATCTAGCTCTTTCAACCATGACGCATGAACCCCGCGTTGAAGCTTCCCTGCCTACAGACATTTACGCTGCAGTCATTGCGCCAAAGAGTATTGTTGCGTACGCCCAAACCCTAGGTGTGATTGGAACAATTTTAAATGGGCAGTCGAAGGCCTTCGTCCTTACCCTTTAGTTGGGACCTCGCATCTTAGGGTGAACTGACGAAATCTCTCCTAGCAGATCTCAGTGTGAATCGGTGAGACAGTCGTTGCCTGAAGCTACTCTATGTCAAATTACATTACTCTCAGCGCGGTATATATGCCCCTACCGACAATATCATTACCCTTGATCTTCAGACATATTCAAAAACAGTCATGTGGCATAATGGTTCTGAGGACCAATGCCTGGGTACGCGCATACATCGACACTCAGGACTTCAAGTGTGCCGGCTAATACGGCCTTCGCACAAATATCACGCCTCACTAAGCTGCTTGAAGCCGGGTGCAGATGATCCGACTGTCAGGGTTGCGCAGTCGTTTTTAGATCACTGACATGTACGTTGAATGCAATGGCCTAGGTGGCGGCACTTCGCTTCGCGTAAATGAACTCTGCGTTTTTCGAAGTGCCTCACCTCCCACCAGGTGGCATCTCGTTTGATTCCAGAAACAACACGATGCTCTGCGGATAGCGCTCCCAAATGCCGTGGCCTCAAGCGAACCTTGCCTGACAGTAGGCATTCACCCCGCGTCAGCTACTACTCGCAATTCCATTACCAGTTGGTTGATAGGTTCGAACAGTCGACTTCTGCATAGGCGAGAGAGTAAGAATGACTCTGGAAAATCCACCATCATGACGCATCAGCACATTCACAAGCTGCAAAAATCCCACGTGATTGCATCTACCACAATGCGCTAAGCCCCGCAAACTGGAAGCTCAAAAGACGATTAGGCGAGCATATGCCTGCCTTCAGTAAATTCTTTTCTGACATGTACGCCCGTATTAGTTGTAAAACCAATCATCGTGCAGCATAATTCTATAATGATTCACTTACCTCAGGATGCCGGCTTTCAAAATAACTTTTTTTCCCCTGCATGCAGGAAATACACTCTGTAAAACTGACTACTTAAGTAGCATGCCGTCTCCCCATTTATTTTCGATGCCCTTAAAATGTCAATTATATTTCATGAAAAACATGCACAAAAATATTCATTCTTCTGCTGATTCAGTAGAAACTTACGTCTTCTTTCAATTTTTTGCTCGAAGGAAGGGTATAATATGGTTTTATAAAACTTTTCCAATTCCCGAATAATTGTGAACCCTATCTGCCGTCCCACTTACATTCAGGGTTCGCAAACTACAAGCCGTATTAAGAGGAGACCATATGGGGTTCATAAAATTAGGCGGTGGATTTGAATCAAATTGTTACCTTTACAAGCTACATTGGTAAATGCGGAGACATGACGATTTATGAAAGGCCATTTCATGGTATTAAAAAATCTAACAATTGAAAACTTATTTAAAACCGAATTATATCCTTTCTCTGAGTATAAAATTGGAAGAAGAAGTAATTTACTATCAAATGAGCAGAAGAATGAATATTTTTGTGCATGTTTTCTATGAAATATATATGACTTTTTAAGGACATCGAAAATCAATGAAAAGATGTATGCTATTTAAGTAGTCATTTTTTACAGAGTTTATTTTCCACATGC